TGACTCCACTTTCAACTTTCCTTTCTTCTCCTATTCTTCATCCAAATGGGCAGCCAAAAGGCAGCAAAACCGGTGCATGAAAGTGCATGGTTAATGGTTGTTCAAACTAAACTGAAACTGGTTCAATGTTTATGACACAGATGAGAAAGGCATTTAACCGGGGCTCACCAATCTGTTACGTAATTAATTCACACATCGATTACAGTTTACTAAATATAGGGGTCGTAACTCCTCATTTTTACCCTCCAGTCAAGGAGTTCTTCAAGGAGCTACCCTCTCTCCCTTCTTGTTCACAACCTATATTTCTTCAATGCCTGCTTTTGATGATTGTTTGATCATTAAGTATGCCGAGGATGTTGAGTATGGTATGAAGTTTTCGAATTCCTTCGCGTACCCCAAACTTATGCAGAATATTTCACTGCTCACCGATTGGTCTTCACAACACAATCTTAGAATGAATCCTCCCAAGTGTAATGATATCTTATTTTCTTTGCTGAAGGGTGACCAAAATACTGATGTGATGAACACTTAGAATGTCATTGTCAATGGTGGACAAATTTCTATAGCATGCTCCGTCAAATATATTGGAGTCACGTTTCCTGCTATCTTTATTGGTCTCCTCATGTCATGGAGACAGAAAACTCATAGTGTCAGATCCGAATGACGGGGCAGGGGTTTCGAGCATCTGGACAGCGTTGGCGTCACTTGTCAGCACTCCTCCTGACACCGATTTGACCTCAGATAACTCCGATCCCACAGACAAGCATGGCATAAACGGATGAGCCCAACGCCCGATCCGGATTGGTGACGTTCACACAGACACGGACATAGACTTACATGCAAACGCACACACACACACAGTGCGTGAGAGTTTGGTTGGCAAACTGTTCCTATCTCACTCGAGTGTAAAATCACCTTGATAACGGTTACCCACGGTAACCGAAACGTAGCCTTATTTTCACCTGTACTGACATCGCTGTTTTCAAAATTACGACTTATATAAAACCAGAAAACTCACATTTTACACAATTCGTTTGAAAATGCTATCTATCCCAACTAACACCGCGGCGGGGCCTTTGAATTTCGGTCGTGCTTTTCGCCTTTGAAATTGGATAACTATTTGCGTTTTGTGCAGTGGATACTATTGACCGAACACGTATACATTAATTCAACTATTTTTCAAGGTCAAATGCTGACCTACAACTCCTACTTTGTGAAATCTTTCTGTTTTTGCGAATGACTTTGGAATTTCAGCGTTTTCTCATTGCGAGAGGAATCGTTACAAACGGTTGAGGAGTAAGCGTCCAGGTCACCATAAAAAGCATCGCGCTGGCTGGCAGGTTGCGCTTCGGCGAAGTTCTATCAACAGGATGATCATTCCGTCCCTTTGTTCGGGTAATATTCGCTCACTTGTCGGAAAAATCGATGACGTCCAGAATCTGGTGAAACAGAAACAATGCAAAAGTATGGGAGCCATTTTACTCCAGGAAAGCAGGTTACACCCAAATATTGAGGATGATGTGGTCGGATTGGACGGTTTTGATATTTTCAGGAGTGATCGGATTGTGAAATTTCGCAACAGAAGTGGCGGAGTGGTCACTTTCGTAAGTCGAAGTTGGTGTAAGAACACCCGTTTGTTTTTTTCCTACTCAACAAGTAAAATTAATTGTACTTTTGCTTGCTGCAAGCCCCGCTTTCTCAGCAGATTTCGCTTCATTTCTGTCGTCAATATTTATATTGCTCCTGATACACTCGCCCCAAATTAGGACGATTTTCTGATAACACAATTCGCCAGTTGTACTGACCAGTCCTTGTGTATTACCGCTGGTGACTTTAATCGCTTTGATACCCCCTTTCTAACCACTCTAGACAACCTTGTCAATTTCCCAATCCGTACCAATGCCTTTCTTGATGGCATTTAAGTGATTAGTCCCAATATGTTTCACGTTTTTAAACGTGCCCCAATGAGCACTTCTGACCAATGTACCACACTTCTTTACCCCAAAATATGCTGTAAAACTAACCATGCCTTCATACGCGACCCACATCTCGCACGGGATGAAAAAGAACTTGTTCTCCTGAGAACTTGTCCCGAGTGCGGGACTTAGTTTCTTCTACCGACTCTTCTGTATTCTTCCATAATCAGCTGTCTTCTTCTTGTGAACACCTTGCCGATTATCTTGATTTCTGCTATGACCAATGCTGCCCTGTTAAAACTATGTATATTCTTACCGATAGGTTTTCTTCACTCCTTCTTAAGCGACTTCGTCGCGCTAAAGACGGCATATATGACCGGCAGGCGTAACAGTGTCAAAGAGCTCTCTGTTCTGATTAGAGCGGAAGTAAGGCGACCGAACGGAATGTACGTCTAGACTGTTTTGGGCAATAAAAAATTTCGTGAGATGTGGACTACCTTGCGGAAACTCTGTGGCTCTCGCATCAGTTCTTGTCCCAACGTTGAGGTACTTAACCGTCAATTTGCTTCTGTACCTGCATCTAGCTCCCTCCCACCTCCTTTTCCCACCCATGATGCAATCAACTCTGTTTCTCCGGACAAGGTCCTCCAAGTTTTGAGGAGACTCACGGCCAATAAAGCTCACGGTCCCGATGGATTAGCACCTCATTTGTTGAAAGCCTGCGCCGACCAGCTTGCTACACCCATTGCCGAATTGTTTAGCACTTGTTTGTCATCTGGAACGATCCCCGATTGTTGGAGGTCAGCCCGAATAAGACCAATATCAAAGAAAGGATCGTCAAAGTACCATCCTATGGCCTGCACATCTGTGTTGCTAAAGCCCTCTGAAAATGTTTTGCTGCACCTCATGATACCCCAGTGTGAATCTCATGATCCTTTACAATTTGTTTACAAACCTCATTTATCCACACTTGACGCTCTTGCTCATATTGTTCACTCTGTTTCTTCCGTCTTAGATAATGGTGCTGGTACCACTTGTTTAACTTTTCTTGACTATACAAACGCTTTTGGTTCTCTCGACCGAAGACCGGTGATTGAACGTCTTTCTGAGTGTGGTTTAAATCCTGAATTCTTGAATGCACTAATTAACTACTTCTCCCGTAGGACTCAGTTTACTTCACTCAATGGTGTACAGTCTTCTTCTGTTAACGTTGAAGCTGGTGTTTTTCAGGGTGCCATTTTGTCCCCTTTCTTGTTTTCTGTGTATATACAAAATCTGCCCATTCCCACCAACTTTATTGCTTGTAAGTATGCTGGTGATATTGTGATTGATTGCCCAGCCCCTATTTCAGACAGTTTCCGACCGCCCCAGGACAGTCTTAATTAACTACACGATTGGTCTGTGACCCAATCCCTTGTACTTAACATCAGTAAGTGCACTGAAGTTCCATTTAGTCTTAAAACCGGTCCCCGTTATTTTTCACTAGTTGATAATCTTCCTGATCTTAGAATTAACAATCAAAGTATTCCAAAATCTGCATCTGTTAAATACCTTGGTGTCACCCTTACTCATAACCTGACCTGGTCTGCTCATATCATCAACGTTTTCACAAAACTTCGAAAACTGTCTTTCTATGTTTACAGGCTCAGGAAACTGGCCGCACCATGTACTCTTATTCTTAAACTTGTGATTACCTGCATTCTTCCACACTGGCTATACTGCTCCCCAACTTTTATCCCTGGACTGAAAGAAAAAGACTTCTCTTTATTTTCGAGATCCTTTAAACTCTTGTCCCGCTACAGTGGGGTTGATAAAACTGTTTTATTTGATTTCTTTATTTCCAAGCATCTTGACGCTCGTGATACATTCATTGACAGGATAACATGTGATCAAGGGCATTGTCTGCACCAAGATATCGCGAAAGCCCTGTCAAATCCCCGAAAACGCTCCAAATATCAACTGCTTCCTGCGCGGACTTCCACATATCGAAACAGTGTAATTCCATATCTAGCTCGTTTACTAGTAAATCGTCAGAATATTCGCACCCACCTCATGGAAAAACTCTTGCCTTAATTTCTCTCTCATTTATTAAAGTGTAGACTTTCTTATATTGTTTTTTTTGTTTGCAATTGTTTTACCCATCCACTGTGAAAACCCTAAACTGCTGAAAATCCACCCTTTGGGTGCATAAAGCTTTTCTTGACTTGACTTGACTCACTTAATAAAGCGTTTGTTTTCCCTTATATCCTTCCCCACTGGCTTTCTGCATCTCGTTATTTTTCCGGGTCTTTTAATCAAAGACTTCGAACGCATACGTACATCCATTAAACACGTATGTCGATACAGTGGTAAATCTCGTGAGCATGTTGTGCAGTTTATTATTTCACAGCACTTTAGGGCTTGCCAGAAACTTTCTATCTGAATGCTACTTGACCCATCTTACACACTGTAACCTCACCTTGGTCAGTGGATCTCAGTTTTCCAACCTGTGCAAGCAAAACTATATCAGAGCTTCGACTCAACCGAATGAGTTCGGTGAGTTTATAGTAGAACTCATCTTTTTCTTGATCCGGGAACTGCAATTGATCGGGGTATATGCTGAGACCATAAAAAACAACTTCTAGTGACGCCTCCTTCACAGACGCATCGCATATGAACGACTGTTGGTGAGGATTCAATCGACAAGCGAGGCGTCGGCCCTATTATCGAGTACAATACCTACTCCACGCTAACCTACTAAAAGGGCTTCTTTGTCACCTGATATGCAAAAGTAACTAGGGGCAAACTCGGGGCACTCAAGTGGTTTAAAGTACTATGGTCCTGGATTCGCGTCTCCAATAGGCAGTAAACATCGATTGCTTAGGGGTCCATTGTACGAGTCACCCCACCTGCCGAGTTCCTAAGTTGGTGACACAGTGGTCTGGTCGCTGTCACTGATGTGCTCTGGACCCTATGGTCCGATGTTCGAGCCCCGCCACCACCACCCAACTCTGGTGGTAGGCAGCTTTGCTGTTGTCCGGTTCAATACCACACCTGATCTAGCGGGGCCATGTGTGGTTCGCCACTCCAAGTCCCGCGGGGCTTAGGTTGTCGGATTTTTCACTCAAAAGCAGCAGGTGTTCGTGACTGGGGGGTTCCGCCTCGTCTGTTGTTCATCACACAGTGGTGTGGAATTAAAAAAAGACTGAAGAGGTTTCAGAATATGAAATCTATTTCGTGCTATTTGATGAAGATTTTTGGTGAGCAACAACCAAGTTGCCGAAGGACTGTTACACATCCGAACAAAAGAAGAGATTTGGATATTGAAGACAAAGAATTACACAAAGGGACGTCTGAGCAGTAGCCCACTTATCACTACCCACCCCACTCGATGTAATAGGCCTACGCGGTCCTGATTATCCTGCGCGACGACCGATGAAGCATGCAATTCTTTATNTGCATTGGAGTTTGATAGATGGGTGTCCAGCAACTAAGCAGAACGATTAGGGTTCTGGTCTAAAGCCCTTAGTTTTAACGAGAACCTAACCACAAGGCAACGGGTGAAGCCAAGAGGAGTCCTATTTACTTGCATCGTTATTTTTTACCGAATGATACCAAATCGAGTCGAACGGTCAACATGGAGGACTCAGAGACTGGACTTTGTCTGCTAACCATGAAAAAGCACTTTATACTTGGGTGAAGCAAAGCGCCAACGTCAAGCTACCTCAATTGCCAAACCGTCGAGCAAGGTTCGCATTGCTCACACACTCTCACCAGGTAAGACAATAAGTATAAGAAACAAATTTCGCGAGATGTTAACGCTTCTTTCCATCTTATCAATCGCTAATTTAAAAATAAAACAGGCACATATCGCATATGGGATTCAATTGTGGAGAATGGACGTGATCAAGCATACAAGGACAACTCACTATAGAGGTAAAAGGTCAACTTCACGGCAAGTGGATTGACTGTATTAAGTACGTTTGCGTGTATAGGGTCGAGTGATGCAATCGAATAAGCAGTGCTTCACTAATCGCCTACAGTTTGGCAGTGCGACAACGTAATAGCGATTTGAAAAACAAATTACGGTCAACTGTATGTCTTGTACGTATGATACGTTTCGCCACAGATGACTTAACACTTAACAACCAGCTACCGGTTGCGTCATCGATTTCACCAACCAATTTAAAATGTATTTGGCCAACCGTTGTGATAAGTGACTTTTTTCGGCCTATACATGCGTCACCGCGACTGCAGGTGAACTGGTATCCAATGTGTGAGAGGGAAGCGGATTGCCAGCCATATTTACGTTTGTCCCGATCGATACTGCGAGTAGAGGCAATGAGTCTGAGTTGAGCAGCTGGGAATGTACGACCTAGGGTGGATATCAACTTATGGCGCCTATCAATCTCGTTACCTTTGAACGCAAGCCGATGACCTTTTTGTTAACGTTTTCGATTGAGTTACATTTGGGGAACCGTTAATTGTGAACGTATATAAACGTTTCCGGGTAAACATTGTTTAGCAATGGTCTCCTCCGGAACTTCTCCTCTTCATCCATGTATCTTTTTCAATCCACTTACCGCATGGAGTTGATCTTCATGTACTTCTATATTTAGTAATATTCGTCTGTTGGTACACGTACATCCGCCATAATTGAACAACTCTATGTGCTGCTAAATATGTGATTGCTTGCTTCAAGTCAGCGATTGAGAAGACAAAACGAAAGCATGAAATATGCTCATTGATTAACAACATGTGTTTTCGGTGAATTCCTTTTCAAGTCTTTACAATCAAATTTATATAAAACAATTTCAGTAGGGTCACAAAAAGAAAGGTGAATGAGTCATGTGTTTGGTAGTGAGACCGAGAGAACTCCAATTTCGTACGCTGTTTGGATTACGGAACCAAAATTCGCTCTGTTACGTCATGATCATATGGACAAGTGATTTTCTTTTCTGCTGACCAGGGGAGTTTGAGAGCTTGAATCAGCTTTCGTTGTAAAGGTTTGAAAAGGAATTCACCGAAAACATATGTTCGCCTACATTGTGTTCATAAAACAAAATGTCTGCATCCTGTGACATTTGTCTTCTTTCTTCTGACTTGATGAAATCCATGAAAGGGAACTCAATGCTACAATAGTTTAAATTGATAACCTTACTGCCCAGGAGAAGTCAGAGTTCACCGCATGCGGAAGCACAAAACCACAAAGGAACGGGAATAGATAACTCAACATAGAGGATTTGAACATGTACATTGATCATATATTCCTCGTTACTAATGGAAATGAAAATGGAGACTTGGACGGAATACTGACATCAGTTAACAATGCTCATCGATCCATAAGCTTTACTATCGAAGAAAACGAACGATTGCATCCCGTTTCTAGATGTTTTTATCCATAGCAAACCAGATGGATCTATCCGAAAGAAAATCCACAGGAAACCAACTTGGACAAGACAATACATTAATCTCAATAGTTTCGCACCAATTAAACGAAATCGAAACTTAGTTTATTGTCTAGCGAGACGAGCACAAAGAATCTGCACTCCGGATACCCTAATCGACGAAATCAAGCAAATAAGAAATACATTACGAGAGAATGACTATCGTTTCCTTGACAAACACCTAACAGAAACGACAGAGAAACCAGAAGCGAGTACAGTAAGCAGAAAACCCCTCTATCTGTAATTACCGTGCAAGGGCGACAAGGCGGCGAACTGGGTCACACGAACAGTGAACCAAACGCTAAGGTGAACATTCACTACGGTAGCACTAAGCATCAGTAATTCGCTTTTGTCTCAAAGACAGATTGTCCCCTTAGGCCGTATCCATGTGCATCTATTTGTTTATTTGCTCCTGTGGAGCCAGCTATATAGGCCGGACAAGACAATTGTCAAAGAGAATGAAGGAACACCACCCTTGATGGTTAGCATACGGAGAAACGAGGACAGTGAGGAACGCGATAAGCCCACACCCACACGAAAATAATCATCCAGTGGACGTGAGTCGAGCGTTCAGGACCGTTTATCGTACTCCACCGTTATCATCTAAATCAGTACGCTTTATCCTTCTATGCACGACTGAAGTTATTACGATCAAACTGTTGCCCCCCCCCCCCTCATTATGCAATCAGAAGCGTTTCGTCCAGACATTATCCCTACCATGTCCAGTCACCAAATGACTAACCGATGCGAGTATGATAATTGGAAGAACGTCGTAACCAAGGAGAAGCTCAATCAAATTGTGAACGCACGTAGCATCGCTTTGTGCATAGGGTAATAAGATACACCGTGCACAGGATCAAACAATATTAAATGCTC